GTATGCAGTAAAATCCTAGAGTCTACTATCCCTTTAAATGCATTGTACTGAACCAAGGCTGTGTACTAAGAAACAACTTGATGCGATTTGATTGTATGATTATACGCCGGATTTCATTTTGTAATTCAGGTGGCAATTACGAAAGCACAAGCAGACGCCTTGAACCTGCACACTCGTGGCACCATCTAGCGGAGGAGAATATTTATACTAAATTTACTACATGTACAATATTATGAATATATAAAAATATTATACAATGTTGTCATACATGTATACAATATATTATAATATTATACAGTTGCTCATTGTACATGTATACTATAATAATATAATGCAATGTGTCACCATACATGTACACAGTATAAAATAAGTTTATTAGAATTTAAATAAACTAAAAGACACAGAAACAGAATTGTTTTTTTTTGAGTCACAGAATTCCACATAGTTAGCATATATTTCTAACGTCAGGGGCCACTAATCACGAGTCAGATTTTGCCTACCTGAGGTAAAACACGTTTCCGGAACTCTCCAGAACAAACATGTTCTTCCTGTTGCTGACGGAGAATGCATTCAGAACCGATCGCAGGGCTTTGATTCCTACAAGAATATGTAAGAATACGCAACATTACACAACATTCGTAAATTCATAAGTTCGTAAATTCGTAAATTCACGGACACTCCCCTACTACCGCACCCACCCCACCCTCCCCCTTCCTGCCCCCCCCCCACCCCCACCAGCCCATCCACACCCGCACCTCGGCTAACGCGGCTGGGGGCAGATCCTGTCTTGAGTCGCGGGTGGAGCCTGAAGAACGACATCCAGATGCGTTCACACGCGAAGTGACCGGGATGGAACATCATTGAAGCTGCGAGGTAGTCCTTGTGAGAGCCGTCCGACGTGCTGTCAAACGATTCGTTGTCCTCTGTAGAGAACAAGACAGTAGATCAGGTAACAATGTTGATGACAGTAACAATGTTGATGACAATAACAATGTAGATAACAGTAACAATGTTGATGACAGCAACAATGTTGATGACAATAACAATGTTGATGACAATAACAATGTTGATGACAATAACAATGTTGATGACAATAACAATGTTGATAACAATAACAATGTTGATGACAGTAACAATGTAGATAACAGTAACAATGTTGATGACAGTAACAATGCTGATGACAGTAACAATGTTGATGACAGTAACAATGTTGATGACAGCAACAATGTTGATGACAGTAACAATGTTGATGACAGTAACAATGCTGATGACAGTAACAATGTAGATAACAGTAACAATGTTAATGACAGTAACAATGCTGATGACAGTAACAATGTTGATGACAGTAACAATGTTGAAGACAGTAACAATGTTGATGACAATAACAATGTTGATGACAGCAACAATGTTGATGACCATAACAATGTTGATAACAATAACAATGTTGATGACAGCAACAATGTTGATGACAATAACAATGTTGATGACAGCAACAATGTTGATGATTGTAAGAATGTTGATATCAGTAATAATGTAGATAACAATAACAATGTTGAAAACAGTAACAATGTTGATGATTGTAAGAATGTTGATATCAGTAATAATGTAGATAACAATAACAATGTAGACATCAGTAACAATGTGATGCTCCAATAGACCAACAGTCCTGCTTCCATGCCACGTCCTCCTCTGGCTGTGATCCTGTCTATATTGTTACACCTCTACTAATGATGTACCTGTGTACTGACTAGCTTGTGTGTGTGTGCGTGCGTGCGTGCGTGCGTGCGTGCGTGCGTGCGTGCGTGCGTGCGTGTGTGTGTGTGTGCATGTGTGTGTATAATGATGTACCTGTGTACTGACTAGTGTGTGCGTGCGTGCGTGCGTGCGTGCGTGCGTGCGCGTGTGTGTATAACGACGTACCTGTGTACTGACTAGTGCGTGCGTGCGTGCGTGCGTGCGTGCGTGCGTGCGTGCGTGCGTGCGTGCGTGTGTGTATAACGACGTACCTGTGTACTGACTCGCGGTCGGGAAGCTGGTGCCGGGCAGCTCCTGTTTCCACGTCATGTCCTCCTCAGACTCCGCGACAAGCAGCGTGTTACACATGCGCGTGTCCAGCATCATCATCATCATCATCGTTGTTGTTGTTGTGTTTCAGGCGGTGAATCAGCGGCTGCTGCTGCAGAACTGATGATGATGACGATGATGATGATTTATTAATTAATTGAAGATGACGATGAGGAGAACATATAATATTTGGAGGGGAGGAATTAATTAATAATTCTCTCTCGCTCTCCCTCTCTCTCTCTCNGATGGCAATAACAATGTTGATGACAATAACAATGTTGATGACAATAACAATGTTGATGACAGTAACAATGTTGATGACAATAACAATGTTGATGACAATAACAATGTTGATGACAGTAACAATGTTGATGACAGTAACAATGTTGATGACAATAACAATGTAGATAACATCAACAATGTTGATGACAATAACAATGTTGATGACAGTAACAATGTAGATGACAGTAACAATGTAGATATCAGTAATAATGTGATGCTCCAATGGACCAACAGTCCTGCTTCCACGCCACGTCCTCCTCTGGCTGTGATCCTGTCTATATTGTTACACCT